TCATAATAAACTAGGGGGCTAGTGTAGGTAATGATGTCATAATTAACTAGGGGCTAGTGTAGGTAATGACGTCATAATTAACTAGAGGCTAGTGTAGGAAATGATGTCATAATTAACTAGGAGCTAGTGTAGGTAATTCCGTCATAGTAAACCAGGGGCTAGTGTAGGTAATTCCGTCATAGTATACTAGCGGCTAGTGTAGGTAATGACGTCATAATAAACTAGGGGCTAGTGTAGGTAATTCCGTCATAATAAACTAGGGGCTAGCGCCAAGGAGCTTTAATAGACTATTTGAAGTAACTAACTAAAGTTTTATTTTCATGAAGCATCAGAATAGTTCTTGTTTATTTTGATTATTTTCGGTGAAATATTGTTTGTTTCATGTCACCTGGTGAAATTATCAAATTATGATTTTTACAGATGGTCCAGAGAATATAAGATTTAACCCTACTAGTGATAATATAGATGTTATAGAAGGAAAGAGTCAGAGTGTCAACTGTTTAGCTGATTGTAAACCAGATTGTAACATCAACTGGTCTAAAGATGGTTCAACGACAATTCTAAATAACCCTTTATCACTTAGTACTAGAAATCAAACTGGTTCTTATACTTGTACAGTTACACATACTGTATTAAATAAACAACTTACAAAACAACTTAATGTTCAGATTTATTGTAAGTATATTATACTATATTAATAAATACTCAGTCTAATTAAAATTATACCTAACTTCCGTTCGCATTTTATTAGTTTCGTTTCGAATGTTTTATTACCTTTGTACGTAACCTTTACAGTAAGGTTTAACACTGTCCTTCTTGACTTTTCATTCTGTTAACCTTTGCTTGACCTGTTTTTATTAGACTAACTTATCAAGTTCGCTGGTCTAATACGCCTCGGAATGCGTCACATTATCCCAAGAAGCACATTTTTAGACCTTACTGTAATGGTTACGGACAAAGGTAATAGCTAATAAAACATTCGAAACGAAACTAATAAAATACGAACTGTTAATAATGGTATAGGTTACATTATAAAGATTATTGATGGTGGTAAGTTTAATTTAGGTCTAAGGCAGATCTATGAATACCAAAGTTAGATACTTGTGCATAACTGTATGTTTGAATTATGCATATGCTGCCAAATTGACTACATTTAGTTTTATTTCGAGATCATTATTATCAGTTGGTTGTTGAAGTTGCTGTTGACATAAATGGAAATTACTTTTAAAAAGTTGACCATGTATAAAAAAAAATTACATATTTAAATA